GAACACTTTGATGTTAAAGGTAGGATCTCAACCAAAAACTTGTCTTTCTCCTCCTCATTTTTCAAGAAAGTATATATAAGGTAGTAGTCGCTACTTTATTTTACAATAGATTATTGTCATTCTATTATTTAAAGTATATTGTAGGTATTACAGACATCTTGATGTTAAAGGTGGGATACCAACCCAAACTCGTTTTTCTCCTCCTCATCTTTCAAGAAAATACATATAAACTAGTGGTCACTATTTTATTTTGTAATATGTTATTATCACTCTATTATCTAAGGTATATTGTGAGTACTATAGACACTTTGATGCTAAAGGTGGGATACTAACTTAGACCTGCCTTTCTCTTCGTCATCTTTTAAGAAAATACAGATAAACTAGCAGTTGCTGTAACACCCAAAATTTTCCTTTATTTTATTTTATTTTTATTTTTATTAGAATTTTGTTTAATTTTATTCTATTTTAATATTTCATTTATAAGGTTTTAATTTAATTTAATTAAATTTAATAGAAATAAAAATAATAATAATAATAAAATGAGGTAAAATTATTTTTAAGATTTAATTGAAATTGATTTTGGGAAAAATAGGTGAAAATTTGAATTCTGGGGGTGTTTTTGAAAAGAAAATCGAAAACTGGGGGTCAAAATGGTATTTATAAAAATAGTGCCACGTCAGCAGCCCCGGCCAACCAGGACACGCCGCGTGGCAGGGACGCTGATGCGGGAAGCCACGCGGGACGAAGACACGTAAGCGATCCGCGTGCGCGCGATCGGACGGCCCAAATTTGTTCCTGCGCGTACGGACGGCCCAGATCAAAAGCACGCATGGACGGTCCAGATCTCACGCGTGCGGACGGCCCAGATTTGATCACGCACGGACGGTCTAGATCGCATTGCGATGGACAGCCCAGATTCATTTCTACTTTAATCGCAATCGGACGACCCAGATTAAATTATGATGGACGGCTCAGATTAAAAGGGGAAGGTTATAAATAATAGCATCCACACCCAACCCCAAGCTCTAGCCGCCAGAACCCTCGTCGAAGAAGACGACCCAGCTACTGGAGGAACCCGCCGCCGCACCGGAGGATTTTTCGACCGCCAAACGAGGTAAAATTCTCCCGTTGGCTTATTTTTCGATGCTGAACCTCCCTGTGGCCAAATCGGAGCCAAACCACCGGTCAATTGGTCAGAAAACACCGCCGAAGTCCAGTGGCGCCACCGCGGGTTTTCTCAATTTTTGCCTCCGATGAGGCCCTTCCTGGTTCCCGTTCGATGTAATTTTTATACCACTATGACCACCGTCCTTTTTTCTACAGGTTGAATGGAGCAAAACACCAAATCGCAACTCGCGCCGGAGGAGCCGCCGCACCTGAGAGCTTCACCGTCAGTAAATCTCGGTTTTCTGGAATTTTTTGGCCCACCGAGGGCCCTAGGGGTGCTTTATCATAAGAACCAATGCAAGTTTGGTCGAATTCGACCGAAAACGGCCAACCCAAGGTGGATCGCTGCCGTGGACGGCAGCGCCGTCGGAGGAGGACGGTGGAGCCACCGTGCCGGAATTCTGAAATTAGCCGAAAAGGCCCTGGGTCTGATTTGGGATTTTTTGGGGACATGTGCAGGTACCGGAAGTGTGTTTCAGTTTCCGGAAAAAAATTCAGGGAATCTAGGGACTGCCCGTAGGAGCAGTGAGAACTTGATTTCAGACTCCGAAACAAGTAAGGATCCCTCACCCTATTTTTTATCACGGCGTTAAAGGTAAATAAATGATAAAACAATATCTTATGAATTAATAGATATGTATAATTAATTAAGACTGCTAATGGAGACCGAATCTGATGTATTTTTCGGTCAGGTATTGTTTGATTTATTTTACAGTTTTGAATGTAGTATGGTGCCTGATGTGTTTATTCCATGGTTTCGTATGCATGAATCACAGTTTTATTTTTTATCACGGCGTTAAAGGTAAATAAATGATAAAACAATATTTTATGAATTAATAGATATGTATAATTAATTAAGACTGCTAATGGAGACCGAATCTGATGTATTTTTCGGTCAGGTATTGTTTGATTTATTTTACAGTTTTGAATGTAGTATGGTGCCTGATGTGTTTATTCCATGGTTTCGTATGCATGAATCACAGTTTTATTTATTATGTTTGGAATTAGTGTGAACCCGATATTGTGTTGCCTTGTTTGGTGTCCATTACTGGTTTACGTATTTATATTTGATTGGATAATTGAGATTAAGAAAAAAAATGAAAAAATGTATGTGAATTGATAAATGGATAATGTCGACAGCCTGACTAGATATCTTGGGAGATGGTGGACAGACCGAGTCCATAGGGAACCCTATCGGGAATGTAGTCTCTCATATCGGATGGGGTATGAAGACTTTATGTGTTTTAGTGCCCATACCGGACGGGGTATGGGGACAATCCGTTTTCTCCTCATACCGGACGGGGTATTGAGGTTTATGGTTTTGGCGCCCATACCAGACGAGGTATGGGGACGGCCCTGGAATTAAGTTATTAATGTGAATGGTTCACGTGTAGCGGAGACTCCCTATGGATCTCCATGGATACTAGTAGACTGATAAAAGAGAAAATTTGTTACCTGATGATTGAAATACAAAAGTATGATATGTGTTATGTTACAGAGTGTGCATGATCTTATGATGTTTATGATGTTATTGTTTCTCATAAGTTGTTTTCATGAATTTCACTGAGATAAGTGGACAGTAAAAGTTTTTATTATTGATAAATGAGTTTGTTATAAATTATGCTCCATTGATAGTTTTTATTTTCTACCAACCTTTACTTCTGTGACAGTGAGATAATATGATGTCTTTACTGGGCTAGTGTAGCTCATTACTTACTTAACCATTTCAGATCAAGAGGACTTGGTTCCCGAGCCCGTTCTACAGGAAAATGGCGAGTAGAAGCCAAAGAATTTATCAATTTTCCTTATAGCATTCATTCATAGTATTTCTTTTAAGTTAGTTTATTCTTTCATACGTTTAATTCGTTTTGATTATTGTATAATGGATGTTAATCATAATCTACTTTATTTCGCTTCCTTACTTAAAATAAAATATAAACATTTCCTTTTAATTTCCGGAGTCGTTACAATTGTCACTTTATTTTGTAATATGTTATTGTTGCTCTATTATTTAAAGCATATTGTGGGTACTATGGACACTTTGAGGTTAAAAGTAGAATACCAACTCAAACTCCTCTTTCTCCTCCTCATCTTTTAATAAAATACATATAACCTAGCAATTATCACTTTATTTTGCAATAGATTATTGTCGCTCTATTATATAATAAAATAATTCATATATCAAGTTTGGTTACACACGATAAATGTATTAATGGTGTTAACAAAAAAATAGATATGGATTAATATGAATATTTTTTTTAAGTACAAAGACCCCAAAAATTAAGGAAAAAAAGCATCTAAAGATCAAATGGAATATAATAAAATAGTACATTGACAAAATGGTATTCATACTTATTTTTTTTATATGGCCATATTATAAGAATTTATGGATTACTTTTTAATTAAGAATTTATATTTATTAAGAATATGTTAAACTATAGTTATAGATATATTTACACTCAGCTTATTGTGTAATATAAATGAACTAAAACTTACATAAACATCTTGTAATATTAAAATATAAACTTATAATTTAGTGTAGGCTCATATGTCCCAATAGGAAGTTGTAATAAGAGAACCTTATATAGAAAGTAACCTAGGGCTAAATTTTCCCAACAAGTCCTATATATATATATGATTTGTCTCATTAATAGTTTTCATTTTTTAAAAAATAATAAGAACAGAAACATTTAAAAGCAATTAGAAACTTTATCATAATAAGATATCAGATACGTATATTCTATTTTTACTATTTAATTATTTTATATTCTAAACTTTTATATTCAATTATAAAGTTTGCAATTGGTACCAATAGATACACAAAGTATTCTTCTCCAATACCATTAGAAGCAAATCCACAAATAAAAATTCATTTTCTTCTCCTACTAAAAAATGGAATCTTCATTGAAAAGTAATAATCAACAAAAATGCAAGAGAAAGTAGAAAGATCCCATCAAATGGATGTTCAAAGATCATAGTGCAAGGAACAGAGTATCCAAATTTCATCAAAATTAGGCAAGAACTAGGCATCTAATCTTGGTAAAATAGCTTGTTCCTTTTTAGTCTCGAAAATCTTAATATAACCATTATATATATTTTTATCACATTAATTTTATTTTGTATTTTAAAATATAAGATGATAACAATATCTAAAAAGTTTTATCTACCATCCAACATAACTATTATATATTATTATATTAATTTCACTTTTTATTTTAAAATTTGAGTAAATAATAATATTTTAAATTTTATCTTTACATAAGGAATATAATTATAATTGATCTTAAACATTATTTTATTTTTTATAGAAAAAAATTTCATGTTACATTGATCTGTATTCCTTATATATATATATATATATAATTAATATCAATATTAATATTTAAATTTTATTTTACAATTTACATTGTATTTTACATTTTTTTAATTAAAATTTTCTAATTTACTTAAAATTTTTTTTTTTAAAAATTATTTTTTAATTTTCTTTTTAGTCTTTGTTTTCTGTTTTTTGTTATTGTCCTTTTCTTTTACTTTTCCATTTTCGCACCGGAAGTACCGTTTGATCTAGCAATTGAGGGAGAGATAAATATAAAAATTTTTCTAATATAAGAAAAATATATATTTTTAAAGTATAAGAAGACAATTTATACTGCAATAAAATATAAATTATTATATTTAATTTTTTTCGAATTAATATTACATCTTTTGTTACATTTTTTTTAAAAAAAAAAGAAAATAAATTCAAGTTACATTTCCTTTTTCTGTTTCGTGTTAATGTAATACAATGCCTATTTTAAATACAAAAATAACCTAACAACTTATGTTTTTCTTTTACACTTTCTTGATGCTTTCTACAGCAACAAGCACTTTCCAAAACTAAGTCCTTCATCGGTATCCAAGTTATAAAGATCCAGATTCAAAGAGAAGTCTAATAACACGAATAATATTTGCTAATCATCAGATCTAGACCCCAGAAAAAAGAAAGAATACAGAAAACAAACCTAGAATGCTTATTTAGGCTTTCGACCTGCCACAAAAAGGAAAATTCGAAGATTAGTTTCAGTCGATAAGATGTATGAAATAGAAGGATCTCTCAGACAAAGGTTGTACTTCTTAATACAAGAAACAAGATACTTGGAAGTACCTGAGCAAAAGATTAGACATAAGCTTGAAATCACACACTAACATGGAATTAAAAGGCTCAGTCATTGAATTAGGTAAAGTAAACAGATACAATTTTACAATTCCGAGAACAGATAACAGAGACAATTTTTAGTGTACTTTATACAAAAAGCTCAGATATACTAAAGAAAAATGTTAAAAATTGAATTAAAAGCCTAGTACTTCAAGTAAAAAGTGAGGATACAAAATATCTCAGAAAATAGTCTCAAGTAAGTTCATATGGCCAACCAACACGAAGAAGAAACACCTGCTAATCTCACTGCTTTAAGAGTTGAGATTGGACGACAACAGAAGTCGTTTGGAGGATCTTGAGAAGCCCATAGATGCAAGTAAAACAAAATTCTCAAATATTCTTTCTTTTTTATAATGGTTAAATACCTCATATAATAATTCTTGAATTGTACACTCAAGAGCCATAAATCATATTACCAATACTTCAAAATATTTTCATATATATATATATATATATATTCTTTATTCAAGTAATAAAAAGATTGTCACTGCAGATGATTTTGTGAATACTAATGCAGGCAAGGGCGACATCAAGATTAGTTCTACTCTTATCTTAGAAAATGTGTTATACATTCCTAAACTGTATGCTAATCAGTCAATGAGTTATCACATAACTTGAATTACAAATTAATATTTGATTTTTCTCACTATGACTTTCAAGACCAAAATTCAAGGAAGATAATTGGACATACTAAAGTAAGAAACATATTCTACTACTTGCATGCACGTAGGGGAGCCTTCTCTACTATTATCACCGACCCACATACAATATCTAGCTCCACTATAAAAGATTTGGGCACCCATTCTTCTCTCATTTGAAAGTTATGTTTCTCTTATTATTTAAAATTTAGAATATGAAAATTTAATCTACAATATCTTTAAGTTCACAAAACATAAGCTTATAACATTGGTAAAAAAGTAAAATAATAAACGGAGAAAATTAGTCTTTTATATGTATCAAATAGGGTTAGAGTTAGAATAATTGTTTTGAATTTAGTTGACAGCAGCCACCGCTGCATTGATTCTGACCGTGCTAGTGATTGCTTTAATTGCTTATAACCTATAGAGTATTCAATTTTTATGTTATAATCAATCAAGAAAAGAGTAAGAATAATTTTCGCAGATTTTTCTCTCTATTTCTCTTCTCTATCTTCTCTTTTTTTTTTTTTTTCTTAGATCAGATAGTCATGCTAAAAGCTTCGGACAAGGTAGTATCAAAGTCAGCTAAACGGATGGAACCCGAAACACTCGAACTCACCATGGAGGAGGACGTCAATTGGAAACTCTCCATGTTTATGGAAGAATCATGCTAGTGGTTCAGTGTGATCCTGAATCTACTACGTGGCAGCTTTGCCGACTGGGTCGAAGAAAGTTCAACGCGCCTGGTAGTTAAGACTCACAAAAATAGAGGTCTCTTGCCTCCTTCAAACAGCGTGCCTATAGGTTCAGATGAAAAAGGAAACATTAAACCGGTTCAGTTTTTAAATTAGTCCTAAAAATGCAGACCAAACTCAATTCTCTAGCGGCTCCAATTCAAATTGGTCCAGCCAATATTTTGAATCGAACCGATTCACCTGCTACACTTCTCTTTCTTTCTCAAGCAGTAGCGGCTGGAAATGGAAACCTTAGAGGTCTCTCTCTCATCCGCCTCGGTCAGCCAGACGCAACTCTTGGCGGTCAACCAGATGGAAAGAGTTACCTCCTAGAAGCTCTACTCGGTTTCTGTTTCAATACTCGTGAGGTCAAGATGGGATCTTACAAGCCTCTTATTCTCCAGATGGTTTTCAATATGGAAAAAAAGAAGCAGAAGAATGAGAGACAGAAGTAGAAGAGGCAAAAGAAGAAGAGGTGGAAGAAGAAGACGTTACCGCGACGACAGAGGCGGAGCAATTAGAGCGGCCGACTGCGACCATGGTGTGGATGGGTCATTCAGTAAACAACTGATTTCTTAGGGGTAACCAGTAGAAAACTGCTTTAAATATATATAAAATAATTAATATATATAAAATTCTTTAAAATATCTATAATATATATATAAACCTGCTTTAAAATATAAATTTATAATAATTTAAAAAATATTTATATATAAATAAAAATAAAAACTACTTTAAATATATATATATATATCTACATATATACAAATATACTAAAAAATATAAGAATTAAACAAAAAAAAGTAAAAATTGGATTTTCAATTTTGGGGACAAAGTTGACGTTGAAGTAAAGGGTATCGTCAGAATATTAAGAGTAGAAAAGTGAAATAATAAAAATATAAATTTATTTTTTGCATGTATCAATTAGAGTTAAGTTATAGTTAATGTTTTAAATTTATTTCACACAGCCACCGCTACATTAATTCGACCCTACATTAATTTGGCTGCTTTAATTGCTTATACCCTATAAAAGGTCCAA